CCGTCGCACAGCCTGGTCCCGGCCTGTGCCTGTGCCACGCAGGCCAGCAGCTGGCACACCATCTGCTCCCCCGGCAGCATCCAGACCGTGACATACAGACCTCTCACCTACTTGAAGGACGTTCCACTCGACCCCTGCCTGAAAGATGAACTAACACAGTGCTCCACACGCTTAGGGAGACACCCTGGAACCAAGACAGCCAAGCCTAGTCACGCCACCGTGGGATAGCAATTTGGGAAAAAATGGGAAATGGAACCGTTTTATCTGAACACACTTCAGCAGATCCGGTTGCCTTTTTCAGGTCATCAAGTGTAAACCTTCTACAGCCCTCCAACAGCAGTCTGAAGTCATGACCTTTAGTTATCAGCAGATAAGAAAAAATATTTTATGCCTAGTCTTTACTGAAAATAGAGTACTCCTTACTGGGTATTTTGAGGGCTTCCTCAGGAGAAGGCCACAGAGCTGTTACACGCACCAAGCAAATCAGCTGCAAAGAACAAATACAAGTACTCCTCCTGTCAGGCATTATAATGTTGTCTCTTAAAAACACATACCTTTGGAAAAAAGCAAGAACCTTCCTGACTAACAGATAAACAATAAATATACATCTACAGCACTAGCAATTCTGGCTGGGGCTTATCATTATCAGAAAGAGCTAAAAAACCCACCCTCTGTCAGAACGAACGAATGACGGGTAGCATTACTCAGCCTGCTGCCTACCAAAGGAGTTTTGTCATGTGGCTTGAACTGTATTTTTGTAGGTGTTGTGGGATTTTTTTTATTTTGGGCGGGTTTACCTCTTTAACCGAACACAGGCAACAAAGACTTTTCCTTAAGAAAGCGCTCTGTGGTGCTCTGCATTTCCCTGCAGTTTGTATCTACAAGAGGGAGATCTGGGCTTGGGGGTCTGGCTGATTGCTGCCAGTGCACACCACAATCTGCAGAGCACTCTTTACTAGGTCTGTGAGCGCGGTCACAAGGGAGTAACAAAACCAGCGAGCTTAGGACACAGTGGCCATAAGGACACAGAAATCTTGATTCAAGACACAAGCACTTCTAAGCCCAGATTAATAATACTCAGCAAGAGCAATTTCAAGAACTGCGTAAGAACAAGTAAAATAAAACTCCTTCATACAACCACAGACTGCATATGTAAAACCGTTAAAAGCCACTAAAAATTACCACATAAGTAAATCAAACAGCTCTTGTGTTAGTAATAAACACAAGAACTAGCAAAATAAAGTCAAAAAACTGGAAGATTTTTACCCAAATTGTTATTCATGAACAGATTAACATGGATCTTATATGGGACCTATCTTATTACCATTCACTTAAACATTTAAAAGCATTTAACCCTAAGAACTTGGTATTTTTACATCCATGTTTGAGAAACAAATCAGCTTTTCGCTGTTTTTGTAATTCACTAGTACAAGCCATCCTACTATTCTTTCAATGCAATAATCCTTCAGCTTACGGGTATTACTTGGTTACGTACGTTCTCCACACTTGTAAGCTTGTTGTAACGAAGCTCAGTCAGCAAGTGACTCCAGGAAAGCCACCAGCACAGGACCCTGCTGCTGTCACCACGCTGTTACGCAGAGCATCACTCACCCCATATCGGCAAGTCATCAATGTACATCTGGTACCAATAGTGGTTTTTGATAGCATACACAAAGGCATCTCTTCTTCCTTTGTCCAAGTCGATTTCACAGTAAGTCGTCTGCATCACATCGTCTGCAAAAAATGAAAGGACAGTTAATGAGTTGGCTCAAAGGAAAGGCAAGCCAAGCAAAAGACACCACTGGTGTCTTCAACCTCTCTTGGCTATCCTCAAGCAGGAACCAAAAAGGCACATTTAAAAAGGAACCATTAAAGCAATTACATGATTGTTTTTGTAATTCTATCCTTCCACACACAGAAGCTTCCCACAGTTTCAGAGGATCCTTTTGCTACTCCACCCACCCTAAATTAAGATCCATAAATTAAATTCCTCTAGATTTAGCTTGACAAGAGAATTAAGCCAACTAAAAATCCAAAGTCACATTACAATATAAGTGTATGTTAATAATTCATTACTTAATTCACAAAGATATTTACACAAATTTGAGACCTGTGATACAGGAACAACCCTGTTCATATGTGCAACGGAAGGGAAACCCAGCTGTCCTGCACGGTCACGGTATCCTGTCATACAACACCTTTTCAAATACAAAAAGAAACACTACTTCATGGATTCCTGAACACACCGTAGATGTGCCCCACCAGTCACCACAATGAGTATTCAAGTGCAAATCTTCACTCTCAACAGAATACGTTTCTGCAAAGCCATAATTGTCTTGTTCTGTTTCACAAACACAGGCCAGGCCCGCTGACTCCAAGGCCAGTTCTACTTGCGCAGCCTGTGGTACTTCAGTCACAGGCAGCTGCAGCCTACACAGTTCTCTGAACCTGATGAACAGGCAGCGTCTCACCTACCTGCTACTGCTGTCCAGCCAAACTATGCTGAGAAAAGGGGAACTGCTTTTTATTCAGAAGCTAATTTAGTAGAACAATTTGAATTCCCCTCTACTCACTCCAGAGGACAAAAATCTAGAAGTATAAAATCCACATCTAATTTAGTCACCTCTTACGATACTCATTTAAAGAGGAAAAATACCCATAATTGTTTATGATTGGTATTTTTAGATGTTAGATACTCCACACTCCTCAAAGCAGTATCTTTTTCTTAAGAATATATGGATCTATTGGTGCCAAAACACAAGCTTCTATTCCTTAAAGGAAAAAAAAAAACAAAACACAAACCACCAATCAGCAACAACTCTGTTTCTATTTCATTGCAGCAACTTCTGGACCACTGGTGCAGAGGCAGGAGCATGGATCAATCACAACGAGATAATATTTATCCATTACAGAAAAAAAAAAAAAAATCAATTTCACTGATACAATCCAGTTACAATTATTTTTTTAAAAGAAGGGAACACCACTTCAGCCAGGAACAAGATCTACCATAAAAGAGTCACCAAAAAGCTGAGCTACCATCACATTTCAACATCCAGAACTGGAAAAGAATTCTTTATACATATGCTAAATTGTAAGGGCTAGTCTATGAAATTTAAACTCTCCTACATGCATTGGATATAGATTGTACTGGGTTTATGACAGCTTCTAAGTATGTAAAAAATGATTCTCCAACAGCAATCCTTTGCTCTGCTTTTTACTTTAAAAACCTGTATATCGAGGGGATTTGGATTTCAATAAATTTTACACAATTCTGTATTAGATTAAACTAATAACTATTGCTACAATAATTTATACTTGTTACTCTGAAATCTGGAAAAAAAAGGGTATTTTCATACTTTTAATAGCAGCCAAAAGATAGTCAAATAGAGCTGACTCCGATTCGGATGTCACTTCACGGATCCACTGCTGGAAACACCGCAGCACCTCCTGGCACACAAGCTGCTAGATGCCAGCTAACAGCAAAGAGATTATGGGCTTCACCTTTTATCCAGAGGATGCAGTTTTTAAGGGAACAAATGAGAAGGGCAGAGGGACATTTCCCAGCTCGCGCGCACACACCCAGCCACCAACCACGCACCATCTGCCTTCCAGAAAACCTCCGACCTCCAGCCGCTTGGCTCAGGAGCTACACCCACTGCGGGCCTCATTAGCAACCTGCACCGAGCACCAAGGTGTTCGTGAGAATGAAGAAATCTTTAAAAAGCAACGGAGGACGTGGATGGAGAGGAATTCCCCACCTGCTGGGAAATGCACCAGCACATCAATCACTTACAATTACCAGCCTTAAACACCTGATTCTTCTTGAAATCTCTACTCTTCTGTAACCAATTCAAAGCCTGTTTTGAACAGCATCATGCCCAGTCTGTCTGGCAGAATATACCCCAATATTGTAACTACATACCTGGTATGCACTTGTAAAGCAAACAGAGGTGCAAAAAGGCACCTGAAAAAACTAGCATGAGTGGAACACCAGACCTTAAACCCTGAGGAAATCACACTCAATGTTTGACAATAAATAATGCTCATAACAGAGAGCATCTAAAGCTTTCTGTGACAAAACATCAGCACAAGCAAGTGTGAATCGGAGTCGGAAGCTCCTAACCTTAAAACAAAATCAGACTTCAGGAAAACAGGTTTACCCGGTGTAAAGATCTACGGAAGACAACAGATAAACTAATACAGCAGGGCCATAATCAAAAGCAAAACCATCACAAGGTACAAAAATCACAGCCCTTTTCCACTGTTCCGAATTCATGTTAGTCCAGGAAGACTTTGGCTCCCTGCAGTTCTGAACTGCAAAAGACTTCTCTCAACCCAATAGGAATGGCATCGATTGCTATGCACTGATGAGCTGGAGGTTCAGTATTAAGCAAAGATAAGTACAAATTGGGTAAGAAAACACATATGAAGTCTCTTTTTTCTAAGTGTTAGATTAAAGAATTACAGAAAAAGAAACTCATTAATTTCTCCATTTAATTAGAGTATTTTACAAAAGTATTGAGAGTGTATTTGCAGAAGAACGGAGCCGCCCAATGCTCTGCTTCTGCGTATTTCCCTCAGAAACAGCAGAAAATACTCTGGAAAGCTAAACTACATCTGACTACAGACTATATATAGGATTACATATATAAATGTTAAAATTCAATACGGACAAAAAGAATCTGTTCTTATCTCAAGCTCTGCAACTACCAGTTGCAGATATCTGAAAGGACTCTGGGTACCAAAGAACACACACGAAGACTCAGAATCACAGAATGGTCAGGGTTGGAAGGGCCCTCTATGGGTCACTCAGCCCACCCCCCTGCCAAAGCAGGGTCACCCAGAGCAGGCTGCACAGCACCGCATCCAGGTGGGGCTGGAATATCTCCAGAGAAGGAGACTCCACAGCCTCCCTGGGCAGCCTGGGCCAGGGCTCCATCACCCTCAGAGGGAAGAAGTTCTTCCTCATGTTCAGAAAGTACGCCTCACACCAAGAACTGCATTCACAAAAGAAGTTCAGTGTCATCTCTGGAACAGTATGGAAAGAGGGAGAGGGCAGGAAACAACAGAACAAAAACTCCACCCCGACTGGCGCATGAGGAGTTAGAGCCAATGGCACAGAGGTATGCGTCCCAGGTATTTTAAACTAGGCAGTAACCAGAAGGACACAATAACTAACCCTGTGTTAAGGTAGAACTTTGAGATGTTGAGCCCTTGCTACTCCTTTCCAACTGCAAAGAGTCTGCAAGTACTGCAGCCTGCTCTGGGTGACCCTGCTTCAGCAGGGGGTTGGGCTGGGTGACCCACAGAGGTCCCTTCCAACCCCGAACATTCTGTGATTCTGTGAAATATTCAGCATCGTAGGAAAAAATCACGTCTTCAGAACTGATAATTCCAGAATATTAATTCCAGTAAATATAGTTTTAATCATTCACAGGCAGAAAGCTTAGTTTTACTTTGTAAAATGCAATCAGTTACTTGAGAAGCAGGTGTCTACTGCAAGCATCTTCCTTAAAGGGCACCTAGATGAAAACTTCACTGTAAAACAAAAAGCCAGCGGTAGCAGACAACCTTTCAGGGTGTTTCAAGCTACAAAATTAAACACACTCAGTTGCTAACAGATGCAAACTTTCAGCTCTTCTAGTTCAAAAATCAAGTTTTAAGGGTTCATGTGGTATTTTTAAGTGACTAAATGCACTTTCTCTTGCTTACCTTTAAATTTGATGTCAAGACCACTGAATTCCAATTCGACTCCTTGAAGTGCTTCTCCCAGGGTTTCATGGTAATGACTGATGCTTTTTTTTGATCCCACGCAGAAAGGGAGAGAGAAGTATTTGTACGTTTCTTGGCGGTTGTGGTAGGGTCCGACTGTATTCATCCATAAAACAACTTCCTCTTTATCTTGGTACTGAAAGATAAAGTCCTTGAGTTAGATGCGAAGTCCAGCAGAATAAAAATATTCAAGTAACTCTCTCGTCCTTATTAACCAGCAAGGCAGGACTGCTCCATCACAGGCAACAGCCACATTTAAATACAGTCGAGTATTTTTGTCTTTTGGGTGGCAGGGATTCTAGGACAAGATTTTCAGCCTGCTTTCCTACAAGCAGCAGCTTAGTTGATCATACAGTTTCTCAGAGCCTATCACTGAAGTATCCGAAGAGCGGGATTCATACAACTTTATCAGAGAAGCAGAAGATGCAGAGAGCAGAAGTGGAGAAAAGCAGAAGTCTCAAAAATAAACAAGTTTTTACAAATTTTGTAGAAACACGCGTCAGTTAAAAGCAAAACTCTACTATTTCCACTGAGAGAAAGTAAACATCAGAGTAACATCTTGTTAAACAAGATCTAAGCTAAAAAATCCAGCAATCTACCCAGGGTGGCGGGTATACTGTGTTTTCCTACAATGCAACTCCTTCTCATTTTTGTAAGGGTATAGATTACATTCATAATTCTCAGCAGAGCACAACGCCTCACAGGAAGCACTAAAATTAAACTGTGGCATACCTACAGTAGGCAAGAGACAAAAACGCCAGACAGAAGGGCTGTATTTCGATGCATTTCCAACATGCCCACAGTGAACAAACCAGAACAGGAAGGAGCCTGGTGCCTGCCATGAAGTTCTTTCTGGGAACACCCACCCTCCGCTTTCCACAGCTACTATTAGCCAGGAAAACTCACTCCTTGACTAGGAGCCAGCAATTTTTTTCCAGCCCTTAAAACTTTTCAGCAGCAAAACAGTCCTTCAAGCCGTTCATCTGTCAGTATTCGAGTACTGAATCCAGGAGAACTCAGTGATTTGAAATCATTACTTGCCCTACATCTGAATGCATCAGGATGAGGCACCAGGTTTGCTGGTCACCACGAGGCCTCTCGCCCAACACAACTCCTTCACCTACTGCAATTTCAACAGCTTAGGAGGGACATCAATCTAACTTTCAAGGCAGAAAAAAACCTGACTTACAACTGTACACACCTGTAAGCACAGTCACCTTACAGATCCTGGTGTTTTTTTTAAAGTACAGAAGACTAAAGCACTATTTTAAGACCAATACACAAACACAGAACACATTGGAGAGGAAAAGAAAGTCAAATGTTAATTAGCCATAACTATTTCATAGCACACAGCTGACTGAACACAGTTCTGCATCTCCCTTTTTAACAGATGAACAAAGGTTCTCCAGCTCCATTTATTCTGAATAACAACAGTCATATCGACAGGTTAACTCAGAAATAATGATCTAGACCTGGAACACAGTAAATTCTTTCGACGAGGTGTTTAAAAGATAAACTCAAGGATTTAAACAAACATGCTTTAGGAAATAATTTAATCCCTTTATACTAACATCTCATCTCAATTACAAGCCTCATCTTTTTCGTCTACAAAGATGCACAGGGGTCATTCCAGCCTCTTATCCGAGTGGTCTCCAACCAGAAACGTCGACATCAGTAAGACGTCTATTCCGAGCTGTGGCAGAGACCAACCACTTGCCAGTCGCACAAACCCTCCCGCCTGCAGAGCACGCACTTCAGACCACTTCTGACAGGTAAAGAATGTCAATGCAGGAGCAAAGAAAGAGTAAACGCCACAGCAAGAGAAAGCAGACATTCCTCCTCTCTGCCAGCAACCAGAAGGGTTACAGCAGTGCAGCAACTTCAAAGAAAGCTGGGAAAGAAGGAAAAAAGAAAGAAACAAAGCAAAAGAGACAGGAAGCTCCCAGTTCCAGCCCCCTCAGCACCAGCAGCAGAGTGCAGTCTGCACGACGGCACCGCCTCTAACTCTTGCCAATGCAGCGAGGGACAGGTTGGTCCCTATCTCTTTCTAGCCTGTTATGCCTAGCACGTCTCCTGCTTCTGCCACCAGCAGCTGCAGAACATATTTTCAGCCCTTGCTCGAAACGGTCTTCGCTTGTCGAGAGCCCGCTTTAGCATCACCCCTTGTAACGCAACAGCTCACACGTGAACCCAGCTATTCCCTGCTCAGCCTTCAGTAACAGAACGCGACAACACCCTCAGGTCTGCGACCGCGTCCCTGGCAGCGCCTGAACAAAGCAAGCACCGGCCACCGCTTTACCTGGCTGCTCGCTCCCGACCCGCTGCAGACCGAGTGATTTTGGAACTGTACCAGACTACCTTCAAGTGACAGAAACCAACTTCCTAAGAACATTATTCAAAATCTTGTTACATTTTCTGATCTAACAATGTAACTACGTTGTAATTACAACGTCTAAAATACAAATTTGGTCTTTGCTTGTCTCTTATCCGCGTGATGCTCAGCCCTCCATCAGGGCCTACCAGTGTTCCCCACGATGACTCCAAGCTGCCGTCAATCTGCTCTGGAGACAAAAGGGACAAACCAAACACAAACAAAGAACTCGGTCCACACTTACTACTTCCTCCTTCCTCACAAACACCCCAGAAAAGAACAAGACAAGCCCGTTCAGGACCGCCACCCAAACGAGCCCGGCACCCCAGGCTACACCTCCTCGCCATCAGCAAGGCCCTGGGCACAGCAGCGTGCAGGCCATCGGGTGCTCCCAGCGCCCGCCCACAATTAAGAGGGCTGTAGTAAGGAACGCAGCTTCAGCAACTGCTGCCTGAATTTGGGTGGGAGGGGGAGTGGTGCCTAATAGAAACTCAAACAGATTTTCTTCTCCCTACATTCGTTGGGTGTTGCTCAATTATAATGAGGAGCTTTCACATTTAAATACGTTTGCCTGTCATGACATATCTCATCCTTATAATCTTACCCTAGAGCAAGGGTAATTTGGTGGCAAGAACTCAGTGCTATCAAGGAGTTCAAGTTTGTGGTGGTTTGGGGTTTCTGCGTTTCGGGGTTGTTTTTTTTTCTTTCTTTTTCATTACCGTCTTCACAATACCAAAGCATCTACAACAAATAACAGTGTCAACACATTTACACGAAAACAATTTTTATTTAAGCAAGACAAACAACTAGACTATCTTGCAGGACTGTTCTGTCACCTCTGCACGGGGACTTCTTGGTCTGGAGAAGGCCAACACACAACATACTTTCCAGCACAAACGTCACACTATGAGAGGGAACATAAAACAAGCTGCTGAAGAAAGCCCCGGTTCCAAGGGAGTCACAGCCCTCCGGTACACTGTAGCAGTACCAGATTTTGGTCAGCAGTCTTGCACTAGTTCCAGGTCCTGTCCTGCCCTTCTTCTTCAGCACACGTGGAGCCTCCTGCAACCATGGAGAACGTGGAGCCCTATAAAACCCAAAGCAAATTTCAGCTCCGTAGCACGAGCTCTCACTCTTGGCAGAAAGAATATATCGAAGAAACTATTCTCCTTTCACCAGGAACTATCGGGCTCAGACACGCTGGACAAAATGACACAACAGCAGAACCCTCAACTCTTAATTTTACTGTTCTGATACTGGCTGCTGAGTGACTGCACTCTCTGAGCGCTGACCGCAACAGAGCAAATCAAAATCCTGTTGCCTCCTGTTAACCCTAGCTGGCAAGCCAGCAATAACTCATAGTCAAAAACCAACACGGAGCAAGACGGGGTGTGAAGAGGCCAATGGTCTCCTTCAGAAATGGTTATACAGCAATATAAAACCTGCATAACCAACTGCAGCGCATGATAGCTGCCTTATCTTCTGCTACATAACCAGCAAGTAAAATGCTTTGACTCATTAAGATCCCGCCAGATCCCAGAAAACATGAAAAAAGTGTCAAGAACTCCCTAACACTACAGGTACAGAACAAGCACACGAGGAAGCCGGCTACAGCGTGCAAGAATATCCACGTCATGCATCCAGCGAGCTAAATTCTCCACGAATAGCTGTTATCGTAAGAGATCCAACAAAAAATTTCTTGCTCTCATTCCAGATGTGACAAGGGTCCCGAGTCACTACTTGACCCATCACTGCTCTAGGACTTTTAGAAAAGAAACAAACACATTCCTATTACAGCTGTATCTAAACTACTGACGCTTGCAACAGGGGCAGGTAGTAACGAAATAACATGTCAAACAGTAAACTCATTTGAGGTAAAATTAATGACCTGCAGAGCAGACTCCAGATAATCTGAGTGACATAAATCTAGCATCTCGAGTTACGCTTACGTGTCAATGCAATTTTATCTTTATCCCTCATGCAAACAAGTACCAAACATCTTCCTAACACAAAGGACTCGTTTTGCTGTACTGAAGGACTGCTATTTCAGAAATTCTTTTTTGTTCTTCGTTCTCTTCCCTGAGTTGTTTGCACAGAATTAGGTGGTGGGAAGGCAGCTTTTCGCAAACCAGAAGACGGACACCAGAGTCCTATCAAGAACAGTCACTGACACGGCAAAAAAGGTCAGCAGTTAAGATGCTGCAGTCTCTACCCTGGTATATCTCCGCAAGCTCTTCTGGCTTTGGTTCCTCGGAAGGGCTGACATACGGCATAGTGCTCAGAGATCCCAATTAAATTCACAGACATAAGCACTGAACAACTTGGTAACGGTGCCAGAATTCACAGAGTCCGCTGCTTCCAAATATGAGAGCAGATGACAAAACACAATTTTAAATATCTTTCACTTACTGTAACTTATGACAAATGTAGTACTTGTTCTGTAAGCACAGCAGTTTGGCTTTGCATCTTCTTCTTTATGAAGCTCGGTAATTTCAGTAACTGTATGGAGTATATAATGACAGCAATACCGAGCCTCTCCCCAGCACGGCACACGCATCTTCCTTTCCTGTTACCCAACAGGGCACTCGCAACACGCAAAGCAATTTAACGTTCTCTTCACACAACTGCAGAAATCAGCGTGGTGGCCCTAGAAACAAACTATTTATTCTACGAAACAATTCAGGCTAGATGAAGTCAGTATACGAAAGGCTGCAGAAAAGGATATGAGACTGGCAGGTTGATGATATTCTTTTTTAAACCAC